TGATTAATTCCTCATCCCTTCTCCGTCCCTCCACTTCCCCGGTACTGATTTCTCCCCAACCTGTTCCCCCCCTTTCCATTTCCCCCTTTTCCATTCATCTTTTCCCATGTCCATTCTTGCAAATAGCGAAGAACAAGAGAAAAGTCACTGTAGCCGCAGACAAGACTATGCTCACTTTGTTGGCCCCCATGCTCATGAAGCTGATGGTGACGGTTCAGTGGCCCTAGGCCTCCATGTTGCCACTGCTTTTGAAGCTGATGCCATTTCTTGTCCCCCTGGTCCAGCTCCTTCCACCATGCGTGTTCATGACAGTGATGGTGACGGTTCAATGGTCCTAGGTCCCCATGTTGCTACTGCTTTTGAAGCTGATGCCGTTCCTTGTCCCCTGGTTCCAGCTTCTCCCACCTTGCCCCCGTCTTCCCCTCATGTAGTGGGTCCTCCCCAACTTGCTTCACCAATGGCGGTTGCTCCTGGTTCCAAACATTTGGAAGTGGTCCTGGTGGAAGACTGCACCGCCGGTTCTGATGATGAGATCCTAGGTGAGGATCAGCTGGACTTAAACTTTTCGGATGAAGATTGTGACTCCCCTCAAGGGCCTGAAATACTCCCTGCTCCGATCTTGTCCTCCCCGGTGATCACTTCAGAGAAAGTTCACTCCTTTTCGCTGCATCAGCGTGAGATGCCTCCGGCTTCAACCACTGGCAGACAAGAGCCTGTTCCCCCCTCTAGTTCAGGTAACCCTATTCCTGGCCCCAGTACTAGCAAATGGCGTGACATTCTCTTTTCAAATAGATCTACTACTTCTTGCACCAAGCTTCAAAAGTATTCACTTAATCACTTATCTAAATCGTGTGCAATTTCCCATGAGGATATCCTGTCTAAATATAAAGTTTGGAATGTTTGTGTTGTGGGTTATGTTTCTGGAAAGAACCCTGGGTTTAAAGCTCTCAATAGTATTATTTCTTCTGTTTGGAAAACTGATGCCACCCTCACCATCCATGAGACGGGCTGGTTGATTTATCGTTTTAAGTCTGAGGAGGAAAAGCTTGTTGTTCTACGGGGAGGTCCCTATCTTGTGTATGGTCGGCCCCTTGTTCTCAGGCCTATGACAAAGTTTTTTGACTTCTCCTGTGAAGAGATGTCGCGGGTGCCAGTCTGGGTAAAATTTCCATGTCTTCCACTATGTTGTTGGTCCCTAATTTGTCTCTCAAAGATAGCCAGCGTTATTGGTAAGCCAATTCAGTGTGACCAGCTTACCTCAAACCTCTCCCGAATGTCTTATGCTAGAGTGTTGGTGGAAATTGACCTGCTTGAGGAGCTTCGTCACTCAGTGGAGATATCTCTACCAGATGGTCTTACATTGCACCAAAAAGTGGTATACGAGACTTTGCCCAAGTACTGCAACTTTTTCCATGTCCTTGGCCACTCTCGCCTTCTCTGTTCAAAGGCTGCGGCTCCAACCAACAAGGTTCCTTGTTCCCAGCCTCAGGCTCAAGATGGTGCTGATAGGGGGAATGTGTTTGGCAGATTAGGCCCCCAGCCTCCACTATTGTCCCCTCCCCCAACGGTGCATGGCCAGTCCCAAGCCAATACTAATCAATAGGCTTTTGAGGAAATTGTCACGCTAGAAGCTGTGCTTGAAAATTCTGCTGGTTGGGTTACTGTGGATGCTCGCAATTCTAGCAAGCTACGCAAGGGGAAGGCTGTTGTGGGTTCTGATCAGGTGCTGGATACTCATTCCCCAACTCCCCCCACTCCTCTTGTTTGTATGGGTACAGGTCATCACCCTCCTCGTTCTCCTAGATCAGATTTATTGATTGCAAACTCTTGTGGTGGAAATGCTCAGGATCCTCCCCCTACTGTTCCATTGATAGTTCATCCTTGTAAAGGGGAGGATCACAACACGTTGCCATTAGCACCTGTTAGGGGGAATACTATTGGGGTTGGGAATCCTGTGAATGTTCCTTCATTTGATGTGGCTGATCAGTGTGGGGTCAGGACTCGTAACCAAAAGTAGCGTAGTCATAGCGAAAGGGTATTCCCTTCCACTGCTAATCCATGATAATTTATAGCTAGAATGTTAGGGGACTGAACAATCCCCTAAAGCAGCATGAGGTAGTTAGCCTCATGAAGAAGAACAAGATTGATGTTTGTGGGTTACTTGAAACCAAAATGCTCCCGGCTAGGGTTGGTTCCATGCATAAGCTTAGGCTGCAGCATTGGCAGTATCTTTCCAATGCTGATATAGCCCACACGGCTAGAATTGTTGTCTTTTCGAATCCGGATACAGTTCATGTTGCCTTGCTTGCCTCCTCTGCGCAAGCTATCCATATTTCAATCACTTGCTTGATCTCCCAAGTTAGCTTTAAGGCTACTTTTGTTTATGGTTTTAACACCATCACTGCCAGGCGTCCTCTCTGGGAGGATTTAAGGAGCTGGAATTCCAATCATCCCTGGCTAGTTCTTGGAGATTTCAATTCTTTACTTTCCTCTTCAGACA